TGATAGTTTTTATTTGGCCTCTAGAGGCCCCTCTCGCTCTGTATAATGCCAGCAGTCTCTTCTCAGTGCTCTCATACTGTGTAATGTCAGCATACTCTTTTGACCCGCTCCAGCAACTGACGCAACCCGGAAAAGCTATCGGTATGGATTTTTGCCGATAACCAATAATCCCACCAATCAACTTTCGGTACCGATATATTGGCAAAACTGAGGAATCGGTCGACCTCTACTTCTTGGAAATGAGGAAGTAGCGGCTGGAGGAGGAACTGTCCATGGCTCCCTTTGCCAGTCACCAACGTGTTAACTATGCCCCAACACGGTGGTCTGCGAGCGAATTAGAGCGAGTAACTTCGTGTCACCGTGTCCAGTACCCATTTTGACCCACAGGGTGCTGCCGATGCTCAGGTGCTGGCTGTTGCTGAGTAGTGGCAGGCACTGGCTTGGCTGGCTGCTGAGTTGGCACCGTTTTTTGGCGACTTGGAGCTGGAGCGCATGGCCTGCGATGACTTCGCTGCTGTGACACATTCTGTGAAGTCTTCTACCGCGGGGCCACAGAGACCAGTGGTGGGGACTGGTGAGTGGAGGAAGTTTTTTTATTTTTTTTTTAGATTGAGCCATAAGTGGCGTTCCAGCACCACTAAACTGACCATTGCTCTTCCTATTGTAAGACTTGAAAAATAAGAAAATGCCAGGCAGTCTGGTGGAGGAACGACCACTCCCCGAGAAGACATTAACATTTGGACTTTCTCTTGAGAAACTAGCATCCCCATCCAAGACGGAACCACACAAGTCAATCCACTCAGTATTGTATTAATTTACATTTCTCTCCCTTCACCATCTCGTCTCTCTCTCATGCTGAGAGCGCCTGAAATTCACCCAAAAATCAATATGGTTTAATGTTACCAATTATCATACAACATTCGTTATAACTGACGTTCTCGTCTACTTTCTATATTACATTCTCCCGCCCGCAAATAGACTTTTTTTCTGTACCTCCAAATACTTTCAAGTTAGCCTACGTGTCGCCACCATACACAACAGCATAAATGCTCCTGATAAATTATTTGTTATTAAAGCATTAACACACAAACCACTGTTAATTTAACATATAAGCAAGCTGCTACTGCATGCATGGTTTAGCATGACTGAATGCGCGCAAAGTGCGCTCCCTTTAATAATTCCGAAAAAGCTGACATCAGTTCATCGCGATCTCACACATCTCTGTTATTATCAATGAAGCTGAATGCACAATGAATCTTTCATAATATCCACACTTTGTTTGTTATAATTCGAGGATTTGCCAGCATACAGAATTCAGCAGTGAACAAAAAGTCAGTTTTGAGCGGTGAGGGGAGTCTATCTTAAATGCTTCTGATTAGGGGTGTGACGGTTATTATATAACCGTGAGACCGACGGTTATAGTTGAACACCGTCATTAGAACTCTATAACCGCCAAAACCGTGCTATTAAAATATTTTTTAAAAAACATTTTTTATCATAGAGAATGTTTAAATACTAATATCAGCTTAAGAGGGAAACGGAGGCTGCTACTGCTGGAGATGATTCGGGAGAGGTCTGTGCACCTTTACCGATCAGAGCGCGCGCTGACACGGAGTAAAGCCTTGTTTATACTCGACGCGTCCGCACGAGCGCGAAGGTGCGCACGGCAAAAATGACGCGTTCGGTGCGCAAGACCGGCAAGACCCCATTTGGCTTGGCTGTGTGTTTACCGTATATCTATGGGCTGTGTGCACGGCTTTTTTTTTGTAACAGCGCGCGGCGCCGCGTCCGAATCATAGACTTCAAGCCGAATCTGCCCGAGCATGCACGTCTCACCGCACCGGCACGCAGTTTGCGCGTCTAAATTGCAAAGTTCATTCCAAAGTTTTTTCGTTAAGGTTTTGTTACTGTGTGTGACTTATTAAAAAAAAAAGCACGTTCATTGCAACGTTTGTTTGTTTTGTTAGTTAAGGATTTGTTTACTGTGTGATAGATACATTTAATGGAAAGCACATTCACTTCTAGTTGTCTTGCTGTTCATGTTAAATAAACGTAGAGCCAGTAGCTAATCAGTGTCTGCTTGTTTATTCAAACTAAGTTGTCCTATAACAGACGAACAGTTATTCAACCCCGTCATCGGGGGGGGGGTTGAATAACTGTTCGTCTGTTATAGGACAACTTAGTTATTCAACCCCCCCCCCCCCCCCCCCCCGACGACGGTTATGTTATGAACCGTCACATTTGACTCACGTCATAGCCGTCATCACCAATTCTGAAACCGGCACACCCCTACTTCTGATTGGCCATTGCGTTCAAGAAATCAACACACATGTCTGTGATTGGCTACATCGCTCAACGCTACAAACGTGTTATAAATAGAAACTCTGGCCTGTAAATCGTTTCTATTTTGTTTTAGTGGTTTATGTTGCTTTTCTGCAACAGATGAATAAAAATGTTTTCGTTTTTATGTTTTATTCATAGATATTTCTAGTTTGCGGGAGTCCCGCAAATCGTTTTATTCTCCCGCAACCCGCACACACAGAGTGAGTGCATTACCGCTCGCACTCGGCCATCAAATCTAGTCCCGCGCCGCACTCTATTACGTTGGGAGTGCACATTTTAGATCAAGGGCCCGGCCCGGGGATAGTGGTGGGAAATATCGGGTTGCTCGGGTCAAGTTCGGGCTCGGGCAGAGAATCTAAACTCTAATATTGCGTTGTGTCCATTGTTCCCGCAAATCTGCGTTCAGGGTTAAGTACATACTAGATCCCATGTTAGTGGGAGCAATACATTAAAGGGTCACTCCACCCATTTCAACATTAATCTTTATTGAAAGTGGGTTATATATGTAGTCGAAATGTAAAAGAAATTTTAAATTTGGTGCCCTCTTGACCGAGAAAAGACAGAAAATAACTTTGGGGCGCATTTGTATGTAAGACAACAACTCCCACAATGCACCATGTTGCACAGCTCCGCAAGCCACTCCCACTAATCCAGAACAGCGCAAACATCAGAGAAATCGCTCTTCCGTCTACAAGAAGGCTAGCTGCCAAATGAGTTTAAAATTCATTTCACAAAAAATGTCTAGTTAGTTGTGGCGAGCAGGACGAGGGCGAGGGACGTGAGAGGACGACGCGAGTGATAATGAATGGCACCTGTGCAGCGGTCTCATATCTCTCACGGAGGAGCGGAAGCACAAAAGGAACAGGCCTGATTTTATGTTTTGTTTCTGTTGTGTGTGGCCAGCTGGCTTATACTTTTGTTTTGTATTTGTTTATTTTACTATTAAAACGTTTAAATGTTCGCCGGTTCCAGCCTCCTTCTTCCCACAACAACGAACCCCGTTACATTGGCAAACTCATTAGTGAATTACTCGTTTGTATTTCTTTCTATATGGTGAATTATTGCATGATACCTGCATGTTCAGTCAGGCGAAACTAGGATGGTTCACATCACAACACAAACGTCCGTGTGGTCGTCTGATTCAGAGATTTCGTCCAGGAGAAACTGCCTTGTTGAAATTCTCTGCAGCAGACGGACTCTATCTGTGTCCGTAGCGCACAGCGAGAGCACACGCACCAGCAGTCCGCCCAGCTCAAGCCAGCCCGGGCTCCTCGTCCGCGACAGGCAGCCGCCTCCTGTTCCACCATCAGCCTCAGCTGCTCTTCACTATATTGGGGCTCGTAAAGATAGCCGCGAACAGCGGATTCGAGCAGCAGAATTTCAAAATCCTCTTCTTCCATATCATGTTTAGTTTCTTCCGTCATTGTCGTAACTTCCTATATCCACAGCGCTTGTTAGCTTAGCTTATAAACAAGATGGCTGATATTGCTTTCAGTATCTGCAAGTGAAGTCCCACCCACTGATTTGTGATAGCTCTGTTAGCGCATTAGGTCCAACCCCCTATGGGCGGGTTTGAAAGGGTGGGAATTTGTGCTTGTAGTCTATACAGAAATCCCCCCTTTTTACACTTCCTCCTACAATGACGTCAAATGACGATTTTTGCGTCATTGTAGGAGGAAGTGAAAAAGGTAAATAGTAGATTTCTCTCGTCTCAGGGGAAAATGAAAGAATGTTGCACGACCATTCAATAGTATGACTGGTTGTCTAACAATGGACCTCTTAATGCAAATGGGTGGAGTGACCCTTTAAAGACATTAATATTCATGCTCGTTTAAAATGCATATTTTTTTCCAAGTAGTGCAATTCAACAGGCTACTTTGTTTCAAAAACATTTGGCATTAATTTTCTTCCATATTTTTTGTTAAGACACCTAAATTTACTTACTTTAGCAGGCAGAAAATACCGTTTTGTGTGGATAACCATTCAATCTGATAGTTTAATTTGCTGGATATAGCAAGTGATGTGGCTTCAGTTGACCTTCGCTGACATTGTATTGATGAGAAAGAGAACCAGGTTAATACAGGTATTTAATTATTTAAAAGACAAGGCCGCAGTCTGGCAAAATTTTCCCCAAAAGCTCATTTGATCTGTGATCTTTTTAAGAGTAATGGTGTCACTCCATTAGGAGGTGAGTGAGTGAATAAGAAGTTATACTTTCAGAAGGAAAGTTAGTGATCCTTTGTCTTCTAGTGGGTGTTTTGAATTAATTAGATTAGTTGAGGGAAGAACTTGAAATATTTTTATAATGGTGATAAATAACAGTTATCAAAATATAATGTAAATGCACATCCAGAAATTTTAATTTGCAGCTCATAGATGCTAAACAAGCTTCACAGGATATTTTAATTATTTCAAAAGAGTGAATTAATCCATAGGCAAAAACATTACAAAAGGAAAATCTAAGGATGGGGAACTTGGATGCGTAACCAGTACCTGGTTTGGTGTTCACAGAGTTGAAGTCTAACTATTAGTTTGCTTGTCGGGTGAGGGGTATTGTGGATTATTTATCAAATATAGTAAATATTGTGTCTAATCTTTCTCAGTCACTACACATTTAACACCTTTTTCAAGTGGGTATAGGATCTAGTTGTATGTTGGTTTTAATGCTTTACATGTTTTAATGTCTGTTGCTTTGTGCCATTAAACTGGGGTTAACTTTTATTTGTCTTGTTTGCCTTAGACCTGATGGCGCTGAAAGAGGAGAAACAAGTGCTGAATGAAATGGAAGAGAAAGATCAATATGAGAATCTTCATGATTTCACAACTGAAATAAAACCTTTTAGTTGCTCACAGACTGAAAAGACTTCATCACAAGAAAAAGATCAAAAGACAGAAACTAAAAGTTATTTCATCTGCCAACACTGTGGAGACAGATTCACTCGAACAGCAAGCCTTAACAGGCACCTGAGCATTCACAATAAAGAGAAGGGTTACACCTGCTATCAGTGTGAAAAGAGTTTTGATCAACTTCATGACCTTAAAGTCCACATGGAAGTTCACAAAGGAAATAAGCCATGCATCTGCCCACAGTGCGGAATGAGATTCAGACAAAAAGGACACCTTAATAACCACATGAGAATTCACAATAAAGGGAAGCATTACCCCTGTCAACTGTGTGAAAAGAGTTTCAGTCAGCAAAAAAACCTTGAAGTTCACATGGAAGTTCACATGGAGAAAAAGCCGTACGCCTGCCAACAGTGTGGAAAGCAATTCAACCGAAAAGGACATCTTAATAACCACATAAGAATTCACACTGGAGAGAAGCCTTACACATGCAAACAATGTGGAAAGAGTTTTGATCAACATGGAAACCTTAAAGTCCACATGAGATCTCACACTGGAGAGAAACCCTACAAATGCCGTCAGTGTGGAAAGAGTTTCAGTCAACATGGAAGCCTAGAAGTCCATATGAGAGTTCACACTGGAGAGAAGCCTTTCACTTGCAAACAGTGTGGAAAGAGTTTCAACCGAAAAGCAAACCTTAAAATGCACTTGGTAGTTCACACTGGAGAAAGCCCTTACACCTGCGAAGTGTGTGGAATAAGTTTCACTGTAAAAGGAAACTATAAAAGGCACATGGTAGTTCACACTGGAGAGAAGCCTTTCACCTGCCAGCAGTGTGGACAAAGTTTTAACCGAAAAGGAAACTTTAACATGCACATAAAAACTCACACGAGAGAAAGCCGTTCAAGCCGTTTTTAAGGCCTTTCTGTAAGTAGGCCTAATCGTGCTCTCTCTCCACAAAATGCGAAAAACGTCTAGTTTTGTTTTCTTCCAGCTATTCTCTTTTTCTGGCTGCTCTCTTAAGGGCCCGGGTGTGCTCGTTTTACCACGGCGTTGGACTATTTCCTTTAATCTTCTTTATGCGCAAAGGAGCAACTGTGTCTAAAGTGCTGGAAAAGAGAGAGTCAAAAGTTTCTGTCACATTAATGAGTTCTTCTAAGCTATCTGGGATGCTGACGAGATGAAACTGATCAGGAAGATTATTAACCCTTTGGGGTTGGCGGTATCGCCGGCGATACCAGCTCACTTTTTTCTTTTAAGTGCAAAAGAGACTCAAAATACTCTGCTGATTTTGATCTTATATAAATGTTATACATTATTCGATCCTGTTAAGTGTCTGTTTTTATTGTGAGTATACACAAAAAAATAAAGTGTTGTGCTTTTTGTCAAATAAAGAAATATAAACATGTGAATTTTGCCTTCTGTCTGTCAGTGAAGTCCATTCTGAAACGCGTCTGAAAATGAACTAACTCAGTCAATACTTGTCACAGAGACATGAAAGATTTCTCTTTATGAAGCTGAAATTCTCTTCTTTTAAATGAAGTCATTTATATAAAAAAACAAATATTTTCAGTTTATGTAATCTGTATGAAAAGAGAGAGATGTCAGTCTTTTTCCTTTCAGCTAATTATAGCGTATGACGTGTTAATGTGACCATGCCCACTGAGAGCGCGCGCTATTCAAACGCAAATGTTGAGGCAAGCCATGAAAACGCCCACATCAGCTGGATAAAACATCCAGTTTATTAAGAATCATGTACTTTACCTTGTCTTGCTGCGCTGTGAGGAATAATACTATCGTAATAATCCTGGAAAAGTTACCTCAGAAGTGCTGGTAGTTTCATTTCGAGGAGCAATAGATTCAGCTGATGCAGTAATGCCGAGTTCAGACTGCACGATTTTAGCCCCGATTTTGGCTCGCCGACAGGTTTTGAGAAATCGCAGACAAATGCCCAAAATCACAGGCAAATCGGTGCGCGTTCACGCGAGTGACAATCACACAGTGTGAATGAGCAAAGACGCGATCTGAGAGAATTGCCGACGAGTCGCCGACGCCCGTGAGATATTTGACATGCTAAATATCTGGACCTGTCGGCGATTCACAATCCTGCTGTGTGAATGTGTTCTGACTGAAAACTACATCGGCGATGACCGACAGCCAATGAGAGAGCAAGATACAGGGAGGAGGAGGAGTTATAGACCAGAATATCAGTATTTTAATAGATAGGCCTATATTTACAATTATATCAAACAGAAACAAAGCACAAACATTTGCATGACCAGCAGCAACAGCAGGACATTTGCAAAATTATTTATTTACCCCCAACTCTCTTTGCAAAACACAGTCCTTGCTCCCCTCGTCTTCCCAACCATTTCCTGCATAAAATGTTTATTTATTTATTTTTTCATTTTCGCTACAAATCAGTGCACAGACAATTTGTAGGCTATCATTTTTAATAACAAATTTAGTGTCGCGCGAGAACTCCGGTCTCACGCACGCGTGATCTTCCGTTATTTCCTATCACTTTTCGCGTTTGTTTGGTTGTGATTGTGAAACGTAGTTTGCGGACCAGGCAGAAGTTGTCGGCATGCAGTGTGAAACCTCCTGTCGCCGATCCATCGTGCAGTGTGAACACAGCAGCAACTGAATGTTACCCCAGATAGTCATGCAGTGTGAAAACAACAGTGACCCGATTATTTTGAAAATCGTGCAGTCTGAACTCGGCATAAGTTATTTATTCTTATGAACAGCACAGTCGCGCATGCGATGTTGTTTACTACAGATGTACATCGCATCTGTGCGTTCATTCACTCTCGCTCCTACATTAGTAAACGTTATTTTTACATGAACACATCCAAACTATATTGCTGAGATTTGTTCTAATCGCGATATAAAATACTGTCTGTAATGACAACATTTCGTTGACTAGTTTTGGATAGATTATAAAGTTTTTACTCTAAAATAGACATCAAATAAGCTTTTGTTAGCAGTTTCTGCTCATATGTTAAATATATAGTATGTTTTGTCAAAAATAAACTAATCAACTGTTATAGTGTTTGTTCCAATACCAGCTATATGAAAATAATGAATACTTAACTTTGAAATATGTATGATAAAATGTATTGGCCTACTTTAAAAAATAATACTTTATAAAGACATTTATGGAAAAAGACAATTTTCTTTTCAAGATGTTTCCAACTCTAACTTTGAACCAATTCTGTAGAATGGCCCATATAACCTATTTGAACAGGATTTGTTTCCAGGTATGACTAAAAATGTGCTTTTGACTTTCATTTATATTTTGATTTTATATATATATAGATGTGTGTGTGTGTGTATATGTGTGTGTATATATATATATATATATTATATAGTCCTTGCATTCTGTCTTGTGTGACACACCTGAATGAAAGGCTCATTATTATGCGGGTCTTTGTCTTCTCAGGTGAGAACCACCTAATTATTCATGAGGGGGTTGGGCCACGCATATTGCCTTTCCAAACAAAAAAATGTTTTTTCACAATTTTAAACAATCTATTGTTTTATGTGAATGATTAGGCAGGATGATTTTCAGATCATTTTGAAGCAAAAACTCTTGGCCACAACTTCCATTAGTCAAAAGTCTTGTGGACACATATTTAGTATGTGTTTTGTGTCCTTATTTCAGAAACTTTAATTTTTAGTTTTTTCAATAACCATGCATAAACAATATTCTCTCAAAAATACAAACATGTACATACATGTTGCTCACTTATTATGGTAGCCCTGTTTGTGCTAAATAGAGTGTAATTTCACCTGTGCCATTAATATGTTTATAAGCAACTGAAAAAAGCACAAATGTCAGGGCATGTCAAAACATCTCAAGGACGCCAAAAACACCTTAGACCCCAGAGGGTTAATAAAGCAATCTTTAGTGGCAGAAGTGATAGGACTAACATATTTGTAACAAAGTTTTTTTCAAAAACATTTGGCATTCAATTACTTCCATATTTTTTGTTAAGACACCTACATTTACTTTGAAAAAAAAAAAAAAAAACCAGGCAGAAAATACAGTTTTATGTAGATTACCATTCAATCTGATAGTTTAATTTGCTGCATGTAGCAAGTGATGACAAAATAAATACATTAAACGTTGATCAGCCTGTTTAGGGACACCATTTGGGTGCAAACCAATGAACAACCTAAAGTGACTCAAACAAAAACTTTATTAACTGCACTAAACATTACACGTTTCTAACATAAATACACAAGCATACAGTTTGGGTTTAGTGTAGGAAGGTTTAGACTGAAGCAGGGTAAAGAATAAAAGAGTTAAGTTATAACCGTATTTGATATTCAGCAAACCAACAGACTTAAGAAAACCAGTTTCTTCGTTTTAACACCTTGTGAAAAGAGGTAGATGATACTTAATGTATCAAATAATAAGATAAAGTCTGATACTTGCATGTCTCAAGTGTTAAAGGAGTGTCTTAATACAAGTTCTTGAGGCTTCAGTTGACCTTCGCTGACGTTGTATTGATGAGAAAGAGAACCAGGTTAATACAGGTCTTTGATTATTGAAAAGACGAGGCCCCAGCCTGGCAAAACTTTTCTGGCAAAATTTTCCCCTGAATTCCCAAAAGCTCATTTGATCTTGTAATCGGTGATCTTTTTAAGAGTGATGGTGTCACTCCATTAGGAGGTGAGTGAGTGAATAAGTTATACTTTCAGAAGGAAAGTTAGTGATCCTTTGTTATTTATTACTATTATATTAATATTGAAAGTTCTTCCATCAACTAATCTAATTTATGCAAAACACACACTAGTAGACAGAGTTATCAAAATATAATGTTAAATGCACATTCAGAAATGGAAATTGCAGCTAACCATGCGTTACATGTGATCTTTGTTAACTACGGTTAGCAATTCTAAAACATTATTTCAAAAGAGTGTGAATTAATCCATAGGCAAAAACATTACAAAATGAAAATCTAAAGATGGGGAACTTGGATACGTAACCAGTACCTGGTTTGGTGTTCATAGAGTTGAAGTCTAACTATTAGTTTGCTTGTCGGGTGAGGGGTATTGTGGATTATTTATCAAATATAGTAAATAATTGTGTCTAATCTTTCTCAGTCACTACACATTTAACACATTTTTCAAGTGGGTATAGGATCTAGTTGTATGTTGGTTTTAATGCTTTACATGTTTTAATGGCTGTTGCTTTGTGCCATTAAACTATGGTTAACTTTTATTTGTCTTTTTTGCCTTAGACCTGATGGCGCTGAAAGAGGAGAAACAAGTGCTGAATGAAATGGAAGAGAAAGATCAATATGAGAATCGTCATGATTTCACAACTGAAATAAAACCTTTTAGTTGCTCACAGACTGAAAAGACTTCATCACAAGAAAAAGATCAAAAGACAGAAACTAAAAGTTATTTCATCTGCCAACACTGTGGAGACAGATTCACTCGAACAGCAAGCCTTAACAGGCACCTGAGCATTCACAATAAAGAGAAGGGTTACACCTGCTATCAGTGTGAAAAGAGTTTTGATCAACTTCATGACCTTAAAGTCCACATGGAAGATCACAAGGGAAATAAGCCATGCATCTGCCCACAGTGCGGAATGAGATTCAGACAAAAAGGACACCTTAATAACCACATGAGAATTCACAATAAAGGGATGCACCCCTGCCAACTGTGTGAAAAGAGTTTCAGTCAGCAAAAAAACCTTGAAGTTCACATGGAAGTTCACATGGGAAAAAAGCTGTACGCCTGCCAACAGTGTGGAAAGCGATTCAACCGAAAAGGAAACCTTAAAAACCATGTGAGAATTCACATTAAAGAGAAGCCTTACACCTGCAAACAATGTGGAAAGACTTTTGATCAACATGGAAACCTTAAGAAGCACATGAGATCTCACACTGGAGAGAAACCCTACACATGCCCTCAGTGTGGAAAGAGTTTCAGTCAACATGGAAGCCTAGAAGTCCACAGGAGAGTTCACACTGGAGAGAGCCCTTACACCTGCCAACAGTGTGGTAAGAGTTTTGATCAACATGGAGACCTTAAAGTCCACATGAGATCTCACTCTGGAGAGAAACCCTACAAATGCCGTCAGTGTGGAAAGAGTTTCAGTCAACATGGAAACCTTGAAGTCCACATGAGAGTTCACACTGGAGAGAAGCCTTACACCTGCAAACAGTGTGGAAAGAGTTTCAGCCGAAAAGGAAACCTTAACATGCACATGGTAGTTCACACTGGAGAAAGCCCTTACACCTGCGAAGAGTGTGGAATAAGTTTCACTGTAAAAGGAAACTATAAAAGGCACATGGTAGTTCACACTGGAGAGAAGCCTTTCACCTGCCAACAGTGTGGACAAAGTTTCAACCGAAAAGGAAACTTTAACATGCACATAAAAACTCACATAGGAGAAAGCCGTTCATATAGGATCTCTGTGGAAAGAGTTTCAGATATAAAGTAACCTTGAAGTATAAGCAAATACTCATGAGAGAACCTTTTTTTATGTCATCAGCGTGGAATGAGTTAGACTGAAAAACGTCAGGTTCATGTTGTGGATGTGTAACGGTGAGGATATTTTCCAACCGGTTAATCAGCAGGGTATCAACGTTTGGGGCTCTTAAATCATGAACGTTAAATGCTCACGTCCACTCATGGCAAAATTATTTTCCGGTCTTTGCTTAGTGGCAGCAGACGAATGAATATGTAAATTTGTGCAGTGCATTTTTCTTTCAGTAACAAAATAAATGCGGTAAGGAAACTGTGCTGTGAATACTTTGAATGCTGAATGCTGTTGTGAGGGATTCTATTCAGGGGGTTGAATAACTTTGAGACTGCTTAAGTCATTAAAAGTCATTTTCTGTTGAATTTGGGGAAACCACTTGAAACATGAATTAACTGTGTTTGGCTATTTTAATTACTTTTGTTCTATTTGTTCATTGCAAACAGCTGAAAGTACCAATACACCTGATTTGCAATAGGGGTTGAATAATTTTGATTAAAACTGTATGGTTTATAAATAACTGTACTATTTACATACTATGCAATTGTTACTCAGAAAACCTTAGTTAAGATAAAATTATTTGATCGAGTATCATTTTGGCAAGGATAAAAAGATGGTGTGGCAATCTTAACAGAATTTTTATTGAATTCCCTAATTTCCTTAAGTCATCTTGAATGTTGTTAAATACAACTTGAAAGTTGAGAGCATTATAGAAGGTGACTTTATAAATTTATGTTGATTCCCTAAAATTTAATTACCATTCACCATTATGGTGATCAATATTCACTTTGGTTTGGCACTTGGAACTTCATTTATATTAACATCATTTTCTTCCTGTCAGTGTAACAAAATAACTTATTTGTTCTTATTTATTGTTGCAGTCATGGTCAGCTTTCATTTCAGTTGCTTGACACCAAGGCTGTAGGTCATGTCTCCAGGGCTCAGGTTTTGAAGACAGGCAAGAGTGACACATTGCCACACATTGTCCAGAAGCCACAAATAAAGTGCAAGAGTGCAAATCGTTTTCAGGTTCAACCCTTCATCAGTGCCATGTGTTACCAAGCGTACACCTGCGGTCATTTAAACACTTATTTCCATAATCCATTATATTGTACAGTGGGGAGAACAAGTATTTGATACACTGCCGATTTTGCAGGTTTTCCCACTTACAAAGCATGTAGAAGTCTGTAATTTTTGATCATAGGTAGTACTATTCAACTGTGAGTGACGGAATCTAAAACAAAAATCCAGAAAATCACATTGTATGATTTTTAAGTAATTAATTTGCATTTTATTGCATGACATAAGTATTTGATACATCAGAAAAGCAGACCTTAATATTTGGTACAGAAACCTTTGTTTGCAATTACAGAGTTCATACGTTTCCTGTAGTTCTTGACCAGGTTTGCACACACTGAGGCAGGAATTTTGGCCCACTCCTCCCTACCGACCTTCTCCCGATCCTTCAGGTTTCGGGGCTGTCGCTGGGCAATACGGACTTTCAGCTCCCTTCAAAGATTTTCTATTGGGTTCAGGTCTGGAGACTGGCTAGGCCACACCAGGACCTTGAGATGCTTCTTACGGAGCCACTCCTTAGTTGGCCTGGCTGTGTTTCGGTTCGTTGTCCTGCTGGAAGACCCAGCCTCGACCCATCTTCAATGCTCTAACTGAGGGAAGGAGGTTGTTGGCCAAGATCCCGCGATACATGGCCCCATCCATCCTCACCTCAATACGGTGCAGTCGTCCGGTCCCCTTTGCAGAAGAGCATCCCCAAAGAACGATGTTTCCACCTCCATGCTTCACGGTGTGGATGGTGTTCTTGGGGTTGTACCCATCCTCCAAACACGGCGAGTGGAGTTTAGACCAAAAAGCTCTATTTTTGTCTCATGGGACCACATGACCTTTTCCCATTCCTCCTCTGGATCATCCAGATGGTCATCGGCAAACTTCAGTTGGGCCTGGACATGTGCTGGTTTGAGCAGGGGGACCTTGCGTGCGCTGCAGGATTTTAATCCTTGACGGCGAAGTGTTGCTAATGGTTTTCTTTGAGACTGTGGTCCCAGCTCTCTTCAGGTCATTGACCAGGTCCTGCCGTGTAGTTCTGGGCTGATCCCTCACCTTCCTCATGATCATTGATGCCCCACGAGGTGAGATCTTGTATGGAGCCCCAGACCGAGGGAGACTGACCGTCATCTTGAACTTCTTCCATTTTCTAATGATTGCGCCAACTGTTGTTGCCTTCTCACCAAGCTGCTTGCCTATTGTCCTGTAGCCCATCCCAGCCTTGTGCAGGTCTACAATTTTATTACTTATTAGCTCATAATAGCGACGCGGCGCGCTCGTTTTTACAGGCGCGCCTATGTTCATTGTTGCATAGCAACGACAGACGCCACGGGAGAGCAAGCGCTTGTGGAAAGGAGAAAGCGGTGCGAACTGCGCTCTCCATGATGACGAGGAAGTATTAGCAAAGAATTCATTGATTTCGTAGCCTGACTTCGTCATACTTATATTCTAGTCAGAATGTGAGACTGATACTGCTCCATAGGGCTTTGATTATGAGGCGTGTCTTAACCGAACCAGGGGGAAAAAAAACTCTGCACTCAATTGGATAGAACTACAACCAATCAGAGCAATGCAGTAAGTGTTTTTAAAAGTTGTCAACAGAACTCAAATGCACGCACGCTGGAAGTAGTAAAATAATGAGTGTTGCTTCTTTTACTTGGTCCTTCATGAGTGCGACCAAAGGAGAAACCACAACGACCACAGGGTTTTTATTGCGTCCCATCTTCTTAGCGACCATCGGAGCCAGCTCATAAAATAAACTTTTGCCGAATCCCGTAGGAAGGACGGCAAACACATCTTTCCGATCGACAAATGCCTTGATTGCAGTTCTCTGTTCGTCTTTTAAAATAAATGCGCTGTCGATTTCTTTTACAACAGACGCGATAGCGGAATCTATACATCTCAATTCTCCAGCTGCAGTCATCTCTGAGGGAAACCGATTACGTAACTGCAGATCATCTGTCCATCATCGTATAAAGCCCGCCCTGGCAATTTGATTGGCCCGACTAATTCTGAACCGATCATAATTACTCCTCAATGGATCGAGTCCAGACCGAACTTCCCGACCAAAAAATGTTCGGGGTTCGGGCTGGCATCCAGGCTATTGATTTCTACCACTTGCATTAGCTTTACTACTAGATATATATTTATGGAGATGAGAAATAAAAAGCCGGCTGAAATGCGTTACTGTCGGCATCGGTGAACAGATAATGGGCCAGATCCGAGTCTATTTTTGCTGCGCTGCTCATGCTTAATTAAAAGTGAAAGCACACTTTTGATGGACAAAAAATAAATATGATTTCACACAAAAAGTGCCCAAAATGCACAGATTTTGCATGTCTAGTGTGTTTTAACAAGAACTGCAGTAGGCTATGTCAGAAAAGAAAATGAAAACATTTATAGAAAATGTACCCATTTAAACGTGCTTTTATTATTCAGTTTGGGTAAAAGTATATGGTGTTTTATTTAAAAAAAAATGGAAGTCTGCTGTAAAGTGGTTAGAAAAACGGAATCGGCTAAAATCAGAATTGGCAACAGCTTAAATGTGTAGTTAATGTTAACCATTATTGTCAATGCATTGCACTTGTCTTTTGCTGAGAGGAGGGGAGAGGAAGAGCAGAGGAGGGGAGAGGAACAGGAGAGGAAGAGCAGAGGAGGGGAGAGGAAGAGGGGAGGAAGAGCAGAGGAGGGGAGAGGAACAGGAGAGGAAGAGCAGAGGAGGGGAACAAAGGAGAGGAACAGGAGAGGAAGAGCAGAGGAGGGGAGAGGAAGAGCAGAGGAGGGGAGAGGAACAGGAGAGGAAGAGCAGAGGAGGGGAGAGGAACAGGGGAGGAAGAGCAGAGGAGGGGGGAGGAACAGGAGAGGAAGAGCAGAGGAGGGGAGAGGAACAGGAGAGGAAGAGCAGAGGAGGGGAACAAAGGAGAGGAAGAGCAGAGGAGGGGAGAGGAAGAGCAGAGGAGTGGAGAGGAACAGGAGAGGAAGAGCAGAGGAGTGGAGAGGAACAGGAGAGGAAGAGCAGAGGAGGGGAGAGGAACGGGAGGAAGAGCAGAGGAGGGGAGAGGAACAGGAGAGGAAGAGCAGAGGAGGGGAGAGGAACAGGGGAGGAAGAGCAGAGGAGGGGGGAGGAAGAGCAGAGGAGGGGAGAGGAACAGGAGAGGAGGGGAGAGGAACAGGAGAAGAAGAGCAGAGGAGGGGAGAGGAACAGGAGAGGAAGAGCAGAGGAGGGGAGTGGAACAGGAGAGGAAGAGCAGAGGAGGGGAGAGGAACAGGAGAGGAAGAGCAGAGGAGGGGGGAGGAACAGGAGAGGAAGAGCAGAGGGGAGGAAGAGCAGAGGAGGGGAACAGGAGAGGAAGAGCAGAGGAGGGGAGAGGAACAGGAGAGGAAGAGCAGAGGAGGGGAGAGGAACAGGGGAGGAAGAGCAGATGAGGGGAGTGGAACAGGAGAGGAAGGGGAGTGGAACAGGAGAGGAAGGGCAGAGGAGGGGAGAGGCAGAGCAGATGAGAGGAGGGGAGAGGAACAGGAGAAGAGGGGAGAGGAACAGGAGAGGAGGGGAGAGGAAGAGCAGAGGAGGGGAACAGGAGAGGAAGAGCAGAGGAGGGAAACAGGAGAGGAAGAGCAAGGGAAAAGGAGAGATCTGGGCGTGGGGGGCCCATCTAAGATTATCTTGTCCCGGGCCCAGGCAAGACTGTCAGCTGGCCTGGACAGGTGTCTTTTATACAGGTTACGGGTTCAAACAGGTGCAGTTAATACAGGTAATGAGTGGAGAACAGGAGGGCTTCTTAAAGAGAAACTAACAGGTCTGTGAGAGCCGAAATTCTTACTGGTTGGTAGGTGATCAAATACTTATGTCATGCAATAAAATGCAAATGAATTACTTAAAAATCATACAATGTGATTTTCTGGATTTTTGTTTTAGATTCCGTCACTCACAGTTGAAGAGTACCTAGGAT